CTTACTTATAAATAATATTGTTAATACTGCTTCCACTTGAAAAGCACATGAAAGCTCTAAGCTTCCTGAATTTATGCATATAGTGCGAAAAACAAAAAGCCTGAAAGCTTGAAGAGAAATCTAACTTTCCAGCTCACACTTAATTTGTGCTTTCGGCATTCGCACATTCTTAAAGCTTTCAGTCTCCAAAACAAAACGCAAGCATAATAGCTTAAAGCTTTATATAGCTTTTATATTTTACTTAAAGCTCGGCTAAATTAACGAAAACTTTATTTATATTCATAATTATTTCATTATTAACGAATACTTTATGTAAATTCATATTCATTTCATTATTAACGAAAGCTTGATGTATATTCATATTAATTTCATTCCTTATTTTTGTGATAAGTCCAGTTTTGCAGAGTATGCAGTTTTCGCTGTGTGTTAACTGTTTGAGATGCTCTTGTTGTTTGGCTACTGTTAAATTAAACTTCATTTGCTCGTAACGGCGGGGCTGCAGCACCCCCCCGCTGCCCGCTTTATGGCCACCCGCCTGCTGCCCTTTAATCACAGTTAGCGCAAATCAAACACAAACAAATGCCATCATCCTAGGCAATGGGCTCGTGTTTGGGATGCCTTGCAGCGGGAGGAGATGGGGGAGGTGGAGGCGGTTCAATGGTTTGGCGCTGGTTTTCATTTGTCTGTTAGCAGTTGGAAAAACTGTTGCATACCGTTGGGCGGCGGCGTTGGACTGTCGCATGCCTAGCATACTTTTTAGCTGCGTGGCCAAGCGCATGAATAATTGATTTCCATTGCCCAAATGCTGTGTCGCCTACGCTCTCGCTCACTCGTTAATCCACTGAACGGGTGTGTCTGTCTCTTTCTCTCAGCTGCTCACACCGCTGCCGTCTCGCATTCATTTGTCAGTTGTTTCCCCCGCACTCAGAAATGCGCTTCAGTTTATTTGTCTGTCTGTTTGCTTATTTGTTTGTTTGTTTGCTTGTTTGTTGGTTGGGTTGGTTGTTTATTTGTTTGTCGCTGTCGTCGCATGCAACATATTTTCGCTCGGCACTTGCATAATTCGCCACCCCTTCCACGCGCCTCTGCTACCCAAAAGTCGCATTGTTTTTTCAGCCAGTCGCTTATCAGTTTATTTTTGTTCATACCATTTGCGTGCTACTGTCGCTGATCCGTCGCTACCGAGCGTCCCCTCCGCCGGACATTTATATTGGCATATGTTTTGGTCTGGTCGCGTGTCCGGCTTTAATCCCAGCCAACGCATTACGTTGCCATGACTCGCACGGCCCGGCTTAACTTGAGGCCACACAATTTTTGCTCATTTATGGCTAGCATTTTTGTTTGTTCAAATCGCAGCTTATTTCCCATATATATGCTACTATATTATTATTATGGGTACCATTCGTGCTGTCCATTTAGCACTGTGATTATTTGTGCTTGAACTGTAATATAATTGCATTCAGCTCTTAGGTCTTGCCCCGCCTTAATGGAAATGTAATTTTTACTGATTGCTGACAGCCTTGTTAATAAGCAGTTGTCATGTTAATTTCTTGAATAAATAACAACTTTCCCATAGCTACCAAAAAGTTTATGCAATGACGCAGATTGAATTCTCACAGTAAAAATCTTAGACTACGTTTCTAAGTGCCTGAAATTATAATTCGTGCATGGCCTTAGCCTTTTTATGAACAAATGTGTGCTTTTTCAACTGACTTAGACCGGAACAACTGTCAGATATCCCCTATCCGGAAATCTTTTCTTCATAGCTTTTATTTCTTTATATTCTTTTTAAACAAAAAATATGAAAAATATGGCTTCTACTTTTGACAATTGCTTTCAATTTTACACACTTCTCTAACTAACAATCAGCTTTATTTTAACGTGCTGTATTCTAGAGTTTTTCGTTCTAAATTTCAATCTTGTTTCGCTGTTCCTGCCAGTGACAAGCAAGTTATCGGGACAGATTTGTTTGGTGCTTCGCATCAATGTCTGGACTAACCAACTCACCGGTTTGTTTGGCCGTGATATATGCGCGAACATTGGCTGTCTGTGCTCCTGGAGAGGAGAGCATGATGCCTGCGCCTGAACGACACGCTGGACGGCAATAAATGTCAGATGGCAATTAAGCCAAGGTGTGTATGAGAGGTACATGGAGCAACCCCCTCGGTTAAACAGGGGTAGCAAAAATATCCCAAATGACGTAGACATTTGGAGGGGTGTTTACATTTTACTGATTCCCCAAGCGTTCCAGTTGTCATTCCAGAGAGCGTTGGTATTTGTTCTCGCAAAAGTTTTCCATTTGTTTTGGGATATTTTTTGTTGCGCTTTGGCGGCAAATACTGTGGAGTTAGTCGGTCCATAGGAGTTTCTCATGGTTGCGGCTAGCACAAAACTCGAGACGTTGTCAGGAGCACGTATGCGTGTGAGTGTATGTGTGTGTGTGTGTGAGTGCTAGCTCGTTGCGGGTTGGGTAATGTGGCGAGTTGTGTGTGGCGCTGGCTTAATGGAAACTGAAACACCAGTTGATTGCCTGGCGGTGTTGCATTTCAGGTTGTCCTGCTGCCTGCCTTTTGACTGCGAGTATATTGCATGTGGTTTCTGTGGCAAGCACAAAAGAGTTAGAGAGGCGTCTGAGAGAGCTGCATTGGGCAGCTTGTTGCAAATGGTTTCTAGTTTCTTATGGCTAACAGTTGTGACAAGCCAATATTAATGTGTAACCCTATATGGGGGCAGTAGATGCAGCATTCCGTGGCAAAGCTTAGTGTAATACGCGTTGCGCGGCTTTGTTGTTTCTTTTTCCTACCCCTTGTTGTTGCCACATGTGGCGCGTGCGTGCGTGTCAGGCCCGCTCGGGGCCAAAATGTAATTAACATGCGATTTCCCTATTGCATTTCAAGGTGTCATAAATCAGCGCATTGTGAACATGACTGTCCAATGTTCTCAATTCCTTTGAGTTCAAAGAGTTGTGGTATTTATTTACGATGCAATCGGAAGGAGAATAATAAAATAAAGGTAGTTTTAAAAGAGAGAATATATATAACACTAATTTTCGATTGATGGAAGAATTTCCAAAAGTAAAATATTTCTAATGTACGCTATTCGGGAATGTACATACCAAAATTGCAGAGTCTAGTTCTTGTTATTACTGATATATGCTCAAGAACTCTTATCCGACAGTTATGCAGACAGACAAGGTCAAAATAATAATAAACCTTGAACATCCCTTTGTGGGCGTTGCGCGTCAAAAATGGAGAAGTTTATAATTAGCCAGGTTCATGCGATTGCCACAAATCTGATTTGGACAATACGCAGAAAAAGTGGCCTTAAATTCACACGGGCGGCATTTAAATTGAATTTCGTGCCCATGACAGGGGCAAACAAATACAAATAAACACAGAGAGAAACGCTTCCGTATGCTGCTTGCCATTTCCGTTTCCGGCATGACGCGTGCTTGTGTAATGTAAGCACTGATTTTGACTGTTCATTGTACGGAAAGCTTAGGTTGAAAAAAAAAAAAAACAACTATACCTAGATGGAATAAAAAATTTAAGGCTGACGCGAAAAAAAATAAGAAATAATAAAAGAAAAAATAGTCATCGCCAACTCGCCGAAGATAAGATACCCTTACACACAGATGATAACTATACCAAAGGTTTTTGTGTTTTCATAGACACCGATTTTTAAATTTTTATTTATATTAGGAGCATGAACAAGATTTAAATAAGTCTCGGCTTTGCTGTTCGTATGTATAGGGTCGGATATTTCTTTGTAATACCCTAAGCAAATGTAAACAAAAAAAGACGCCAATTCGCTTTGAAAATTAACGGGACTCCAACAGCGTCCATAGACTATAGTCTATTTAAGGCGGATAATCCCGGATTCCCTCATAGGCAACGCCCTCACTTAGCATAAGATCAAAGGCAACGAAGCATTAGTTCGTGTCATTTTGTCCTCTTGTTTTGCATAAATTAAATGGCCCAGACGTCAGTCAGCCTAATGTAACTGCCAAAAAAAAGTGTCTGGGCCACTTTAAGGCAGCTTAAAGTTGCACTGGTCGAAATGGCTTAGAGTCTTTATGGCATATTCATGTGGCTTTCTTGCCACAAAAGCCAACAAAGTGATAGAGCAAGAGAGAGAGGGAGGGAACGACCAGCTTGAGCCGTGTGTTGTGGTACGACTTATGGTTTTGACTTTTGCTTGACAGTTGACCCGCAACAATGGCTTCCACCTGCTCACCTGTCAACTGGCACCTGTTTTGTGTGAGTTTTTGAGCCATTTTCAGCATGCATCGCAGCACATTCAACAAATGTTTATGACACATTTTACACATGTGGTTGGGCACGAACAAAGGAACTTCTGGCAGTGGCTGCGTTGTCTTCAAACGATGCTCTTCCTTGAAAGTTTCAATGAATATTCATTACTCTGCTCAAGCACAACTAATTGTCTGACGATTTGACAATTGCTTTCGTCAAAATATCATCAAGTGTTGAGAAATTCTAAATTCCTTTAATCAAAATATCATCAAGTATTGATAAATTCCAAAATGCGTTACTTTGAACCTGGTTCAAATCCATTGTTTAAGCTTATTGTGATCGACATTTCCTCAATAAAGTGGACATTTAGAAAGAAAGAACGGATCTCATTGGGGTTTTCCATGCAGAAGAAACAGAAGAGAGGATACAAAAATACATATGTTATTTATATTTACAGATTCGAATCTGAATTTTCTCTTATCAAGTCATTACTAATAGTTCTTATCAATACCGTGAAACGTGCGACATTCTGATTTTTTTAAAATACATAAAAATTCAAACGTTTATTTTGGCATATCTAATCAATGGTCAGTTCAAAGGGTTACCCCTCGTTACACAAAGATTTATAACATTCGCGCTTATCAATAAGTGATTCCCTCAAACAACCAACAGAAGAATATATAAAAACACCAAACCTATCGACAATCAACACATCAGTCTGTGATCCGTTACCGGATAGTTAAAACAATGTATTCCCCGACGAAACTTATTGCTTGCACGCTGATTTTTGCCCAGCTACTGGGCACCATTTATTGCGGAATATACGATTATACGGATCGCTGGGTCCTCTCCGATAAGGCGCAGAACTTCCCCGAAAACGCTGTTCTAGGCGGCATTGATTCGTACGGTTATGATAACTACGTGGCACGCGTCCCATATGCAAACTCTATTGTGCCAGCCCGGGTAAGGTCCGAAACGGGATACACAACTTTTAACACCGACTCCGTAGCTAATCAGGCGATTTCCTACGAGTTGCTGGTCGCCAATGAGACCGTCAACTATTACTGGGTGCGCAGCTATGACGGCTTCAGGGAAAAGAATTCTGTTTCCGTGGGTACAAACGCCTTGAACGAACGCGTTTACGTCTGCCGCGCCAGAACTGATGGCGGCCTTTTCATTGGCACCCTGTATCTTGCGCAAAAGGTGTGTTTCATCCGGTACGAGAATTTCCCCATGAGAGAGATCAGTAAATACGAGGTACTGGTCCGAAAAGTTACGCCGGCAGCGTGGATGCCATTTGACAATCAAATTAACTGATAAATATCGAAATTTAAAATATAACGAGAAAGAAGATTTATCTTGAGAGCACCGAAGATTTACTACTCTTACAGGCAAAAAGCATTTCAGGGGTATATTTATATACTATTTCGAAATTTCTCCCTCAATGCGATGTGCGTATCTTGAGATAACGCTCTATTAAAACATTTTTAATGAACTGGAGATGGGAGAAAAGTTTTAATAAAAATTAACACCCAACTTGTTAAACAATGGCAGCGGGAAACGAACGAGTTTTCTGTTTTTGACTTTTATTTTGTGTGCAGATAGCACACTCGCTTTTTTTTCGCAGTAAGCTAACACAACTAATTAAAAGCACTTTGTAGACTTGCCGGCAGACACATTTATTAGTGAGACGCAGCTGCAAAGGCGTTTATAAGGCGGGGCGAGCTGCGAAAGTTGAGCCTTTTGGCAAATGCCGACCGCTAAAGATGTGGGCGCGGCTGTGGGCGTATAGAAACAAAAAACCGCAGCGCCAAACTTCATTAAAAATGCACACGGAAGCAGCTAAAAAGCCGCCAACTTCATTTGAATAAAGTTACGACAGAATCTCTTGCGTGTGTGCGTGTGTGTCATGTGTCTCGTGTGCTGGCTTTAATTTATGAAGTCATTAGATGCAATTTTCGAGCACCTGAGCAGCCGTATCGCAGGCTGGCAATTTGGCAACCGTTCAACACGGCTGCAGTTGTCCCAATGCCAAACATTTAACCGGCGACCCTAGAAAATCGAGGCCAGTCGGTTTGACAGCTGCCAGACGATTACATCCCGGCCTGGCCTGGCCTGGGTGGGCCAGGCCAAGGCAAACGTTTTCTAATTTTCCACGCCATTAAATCAGGGATTTCTAGCCAGACGCATGCGATTCCAACTGCCACTGGCATCGTGACATGCAATGTCGCAATGTCTGAAGGGCGGCCAAGTTGAAGCTGCAATTGCAACTTCGACTAGCGCTGTCCAAGGGCGAACTTGAGTCCCAAGCCAGCAACCAAAATAAATGTCAAACAAAATTGGTAGCAAGTTAAATGTTAAATAAGGTGGAATTGAGACTATACATTCTGTTAAAAATATAAAGGATTATACCTAAACAATTTATTTAGAATTTGTCTGTAAATAGTTGAGATTCCACAAAAGATCAAAATAAAATGTGTTCTAGTCGAAAGTGGGCGTTAAGGAATTACCTTAAGATCCTAGCGTCTTACCTGTTTACACAAATCCCATTTTAACTCTATAAACATAACCATTTCAAAGCATATTCCACCTTGAAGGAAGTTCATTGTTTAGCAATAAAAACTGCGTGTTGTACTCTTCCCAGTAACCACAACAAAAAAATAGAATTCCGCCTTGTCGGTAAAGTTTAAATTTATCGCACTCTGCGTTAGAGCAGCCAGGAGGAAAACTGACCTGGTCTTAGAGCGAGCGGGCGCATTCAAAAACCAAGAAACCAAATACAAAAAAAGATAATTTCGGAGCAAAGCATAAAGAGAAGCAAGTTTTCGTGAAGAGTTTTGCGCGCCGGGCAACAACGTGACAGGCAAAGAAAACTTGTGAAAAACAACTTTGAACACGTTTCAGTTACCTGCCACGCCTCCAAGCCCACAATGGCACGCCCGCTCATTATGTGACTGAAATGAATGCAATGCAATTAATTGTGAACAACGCATCCTGAAAGTATTTACGGCTTCGGCATCGGCATTGGCTTTGATTGCAGCATAAATTTAATTGAAAAACTTTTTTCCGAAGATCGAAATGCGTTTGCAATTACAGTCAGGTGTACACGCATATTGCCGTTGGCCTTGGCAGTTGCATCATCGATAAAAATGGCAACAATGTCAGCCTAATAGTTACAAACTGTGAACTGTTGCGAACTGTGAGCCACTAACTGGAGCTGGAGTTGCACCTGGATAACTTTACCTGCGCTTCTTACCAAAGTGCAATACAGCGTCGTCAACTTGAACTTTGTGTTTTGTAACGTGCTCCTGAACTTTGTTTGGCTCCCGGGAAGCGTTACTTTTGACTTGGTCATGTGTTTTGCAACGCAATGAGAGAGCTCAAAATATCGCTGAGATTTAAAAGAAAAAACCGCTCGCATTGATAAATGCTAAACAAGTATTTTAGGTAAATGGATAAAGTTCTTTGGTGTAGAAGAAATATATATAAATATTTTTCATATTTATAGTTAGACTTAAGGAAGTTAATGTCTTTATACCAAATAGTTTGATGCACTGAAAGCATTTCAGCATATATCTCAGAAGCTTAGATCATACAAGTTTCGTTGTTATAAAATTAGTTTTTTTTTCAGGCGAGTTGTTGCTGCTGTAATTGGTATGCCAGTGAGCGTAGTTGTTGTTGTTGTAGTTAAAAGTTAGACGATGGCGACGACGTCGTCTACAGGTGTAGCCTGCTGCCATATTATTTACAAGTGGCAGAAGGAGCAGCAGGGCAGCAGGGTGCAGCGCCTGGCTTTCACCCACGAGGCACCTATAATTTAGCGCTGTTTATTTGTAAATGTCTGTCGCGGCACGGGATCGAGTTGCAGGGTCGCAGTCCTTGTTCTCGTCACGCTTCATGTCAACAGCGGCAACTCCATTGTCTGCCCTGGGCTCCTGCTCCCTACTGCTGCTCCACAGCGCCTCAGCTGCTGCCCTGTTGTATTGGACTGTTCGTGGTGGTGGGGGGGTTAGACGAATACGTGTGTGTGTCACTGACATTAAGTGCAGTTGGTTGCTGGGCTGTTGGGTTGTCGGTTTGTCGATTCGCAGAAAAACGTTTTGCAATTTATTAACTGACATTTGAAGTGGTTGTTGCCACGGGGCAAGTGGCACGGTGGCAACCTGTGCTTCGGATAAGCAAAACCTATGACACTTATTACTGAAGCAGCTGTGCGGTGTGGTAAACAATATGAAACTCCATTGCATGCATATTTGATTAAGCTGCCTCTAGGTAGGCAATGATATTTGCAAGCCAAACTTTGCAGACAAACGCGCCCGCGGGCCCTGACACACACACACACCCATACACACACACACACCCATACACACACACACACTCGTGCCCATTCTAGCATAAGGGTTAAGGCCAACAACAATAATGCGTAAGTTTTTGGACCAAACAAAAGTTGCAAACGTTTCGAATTCGGGTTGAGAGCAAGCGTGCACAGACAAAATGGCCGGAAGCGGAAACTGTTTTGTACATTGGCAAATTTGATATGAAGGCGTGCGGAAGGGCAAAAGATAGGAAACTAAGCCTCGACAGGTAGACAGACATTTCTCAGTTCCGTGTGGTTATTAAACACATATTAAGTCGGCAGCTGGAAAAGGTTGACCATGCAAAAGAGCATAATAAAAAGCTTATTCAGTTAGAAAAAAAAAGGCAAGAGAACTTCACAAGTTTAGACGATTAGCAAAGGTTTAGGGCAAGGGACAGTTAGTGGTTCCTAATAGCTGTCTGTGAATCCACACAAATGTTGCTCGCTGGGTGGTGCCTAATTGTTTATTTATGAAGTGGGCAATCGAGGCACCTGGAAGTGTAGTAAGCCTCTGGCGTTGGCTGAAGCTTATGACTCGTGGAGGAGATTGGGGTTGAAAAAGTTCCCGACAGCCTAATAAAGTCTGTTCAATATTTGAGTATTCTTTAGAGTGATTGAAAAGTGTTAAATATGTCCGAGCTAGTATATAAGTAAATTAATAGTTATAACCTTGGACCAATGGATGCTCTCAAAGATTTATTAATCGTGTAATCGCTTGCTTGTTATAGTACAATTAAGCTGTAATCATTTCCTATTCTATTTATTGATAATTAAACTGCTTGTAACGTAGAGATGTCTTCTCTATGTTTGTGATTGAATGATTGAATAAGCTAGCAGTATTTGGTGGAATTTAACTTTTGATGTGATTTGATTAAAAAGAAATCAAGCTACAGATTGATTTTTTTATACACCACCATAAACATACAAAAAAAGCTATTGCTATGGAAATTTAACCTTCAGCCTAATAAGTAAATTGTTTCTAGTGCAGATTGAAATACTTGTGGTCTCTTTAACTGCCCTTTACATAGTTTTGACATGGCTTATAACTAAAATCCATGAAAATCAGCTTTAACCCGGGAGTCCCCAATAACCCGACCATAATCACCTGCCTATGTTTGCTATTAAAGCCACATAACATTACGCAAGTTAATGTGCCTGCCCCTCTGCGGAGCTCATTTCGGTCAATCTCAGGTGTCATATTCCAGATGTAATGATGTAGACTCACTCAAAAGCGACCCTTAAATGAGAGGGTGGCTTCATTCATTTGATATGCATAGCACAACCGAAAAAAAAGCAAAAACAAACATTCCGGCAAATGCCATTTAACACTTTAATGTGCACACGCGCACATATGTGTCTGGGTGTGTGTAAAAACTTCAATTAAAATGCCAGCGTAACAATGCTCAATGGAGATGACATCCACCCCCCAACTTCCGTATTTGGTTAGGCCCTTTTCCCTTTAGCATTTCATTTGCAATTTAATGCAAAATAGCCGTAAAGCCACAAAAAGGCCAAGCGGCCAAGTCTGGTAAAGCAGCGAAACAACCAAACAGTCGAAACGCTTGGCAATCCTCACAATAGCATAAAACGCAATTGAGCCCTTAACTGCCAACAACAAAATGGCTCTGCTGAGTGACGATGGCGCTGACAATTGTTTCCGCTTGCCCTAGAGAGAGAGAGAGATAGAGAAAGAGAATCGTTAAGAGAGAGATACAGAGACTAGCATACAGCGAGAAGGTAATTTTGTTCAAGCACATTCTAGTTATTATTTCTACCTGTAGCTTTCGAAGCCCTTTTCGTTTCTAAATTTAAGCTCCTGGGTATTTCATAATTTTTGAAAATTTAAGTAAGAATATTATCTGAAAATTCAAAGAATTGGTGTAACAATAAAAAGAATTAAGAAAATTGTTGAAGACTTCTTTAACTCAATTCTAAATAATTATTTAACAATATAAAGAGA